AAAATGGCCTGATGATAAGTGTGACTTCGGCTGTCTGCAGCCTAGTGACGAGCCCATATTGCTATGGCCGGTCTTTCGTCCGCCGGTTTGGAGGGCTGCCCTGGATCAAGCAGGAGGGCTACCACCCTCCCACGATCCAACGGGGATCCCCTCCTTGCTAGTCGCCCCTACAGGGTGACTTTCAACCCTTTCCGGGGTCGCCCAGCGAAGCGAAACTGAACGCGGAAGACAGAGCTTGCCTTCCAGACGTCCGTATCGGCTGCCTCAGCAAACCGAAAGTCGTCACTGATGGCCATTTCAGTATCCCCACGGTCATGGGATTGACAGTCAAACCCTTGGCAACTCTTCCGATTTACGATGGTCGCAGTGTCCCGGGGGTCACACGATCCCCTTTTGCGACCTTCTGACTTAAGCAAAGTCAACTGTGTTCTTCATTTAACATCTGCAGGGATTCCCTGAACAACTGGGGCAAGACAGGTGGTCAAATGGGGCAAAACTCACTTAATAAACGTCTCACTGAACGACAGAAATGTTGGGCTCCACTGTGGCAGTAAGTCGAGGGCTACCTGCAATTAGCAAGGTTCTCCAAGAATTAATTCCGCCGTTCCTCGCTCTGGAGGAAAGACTCACCCAACTTATAGATGAGGACAAAGCCAGCAGTCCACAGCGTGTCCGGCACAAGGAGAATCTCGTGGAAAAAACGCAGCAGGGTTAAGTCCCGGCCCTTGGCAGGTGTGTCGTGGGGAGAGGAGTCCAGATGAAACTTGGAGGTGAACACGACGGCCGTGGCATAGATTAGAGTCAGGTAGACGAAGAGGGCTCCCCAGCCCAGGTGATGGAGGAAGGTGAGCAGGCCTCCTCCCGCCATGAGGGAGCCCAGTTTGTAGGCCACCACCTGGATGCTATTCCCAAAGCCCACCTCCTCTGCTCCCAACAGCTGGATGGCCACCCCATCGGTGGCCACGTCCTGGATGGAAGCGAAGAGGTTCATGAGCAGCAGAGTGACCGCCACTCCAAGGAAGTCCACTTCCGGAGTCAGGAAGGAACAGGCCAGGCATGTCATCGCCAAGCCGCACATGGTCAACATCAGCCAGGTCTTCTTGGAGAGATACCAGTCCACAAAGGGGGCCCAGAGCACTTTGAGGATCCATGGCAAGTAAAGCAGCTTCGTCAGGCTGATCTTGGTGAAGGAGAGGCCCACCGTCCGGAAATAGACCGGCAAGAGTCCCGACTGGAGCCCGTAGGGGATTCCTTGCACGAAATACAGCAGGAACAGCAGCCAATATTTGAAAGTCATTCTTGGGTCCTGGTCCACCCTGCAAAGACAGACGGGCAAGCTGAAAGAGGCAATCGGAGCCTATTCACAGGTAGTCCTCGACTTAACGATCACAATGGAGTCCGGAATTTCGGGTACTGAGACAGTTGTCTTTACTCCTTTGGTGAATCCGGCTTCCCCATTGACTTTGCTCGTCAGAAAGTTGCAAAAGGGGATCACGTGACCCCGGGAGGCTGCAAACCGTCATAAGTCTGAGTCAGGGGCCAAGTGGCTGGGTTTTGATCACGTGACCACGGGGATGCTGCAACGGTCCTGTGTGAAAAACGGTCCCAAGTCACTTTTTTCAGTGCCGTTGTAATGCTGAACGGTCACTAAATGAACTGTTGTAAGTCGAGGACTGCCTATAGAGCAGGGGTGTCAAACTGCCGGCCCACCGGCCGGATGCGTCACAGAGAAACCACGTCCACCCCATTGCAGGCAATGGGGAAAAAGCTCCGATACGTCGCGCAACGTCATGTGACGTCACGAGTTGAGATGTCCGCTATAGAGGATAGCAGGCTGTTTTCCAGATAATTCTGGATAATTCTGGAAAAAAGACTTCGGGACCTCTTTGTGTCAGCCAGGAATTTCCAAAGCATTTTGTTGCCATTATCAGCAACTAGGCCTCAAGGAGTTACCGAATAATAAGGGAGGGATACAATTTTTTTTTAAAAATGAATATAATATAAATGAAAATTCTGCCCCTCTGCAAAGGTGCAAAGCCACAGACAATCCTCGACTTGCAACAGTGCGTTTAATGACCAAGTTACAACGGCCAAGTTAATGTTCCAAGTTACGACAACACAAATGACGTAGGACTGTTTTTCACCCTTACGACCGCTGCAGCACCCCTGTGGTCACGTGACCAAGATTCCGATGCTTGGCAAGTGACTCATACTCATGACTGTCCCAGGGGTCACGTGAACCTTCTGACGTGTCGTTAGCTTAACAACTGTGATTCACTTAATGTCAGCAAGCAAAGTCGTAAAATGGGCCAATCATGAATTAGCCTAGGTCTAGCTTAGCAACCAGAAACATTGGCCCCTGCCTGAGCAGGGGGTTGGACTAGATGACCTCCAAGGTCCCTTCCAACATCATCATCATCATCATCATCATCATCATCATCATTATTATTATTATTATTATTATTATTATTATTATTATTATTATTATATCAATAATAATAATAATAATAATAATAATAATAATAATAATAATAATAATAATAATAACAATAATAATAATTGTGGTCGTAAGTTCGCATTTAAGACCGGATTGTTCAAACTGGGCAACTTTGAAGTGGGGTGAACTTCAACTCCCAGAATTCCTCGGGGCTGGGGAATTCTGGGAGTTGAAGCCCACTCCTCCTCAAGTTGCCCAGCTGAAAAAAAAATAAGTTTTAAACAGTTTTGCCTGGTTTCTAATGAGCCACCGGGGAGGGGGGGGGAGTCGCCGGTGCGGCCTCCCCGCACCCTCCCACGAAGCCGGGGTCACTGAGAGCCTGCGGAACTCCTTACCACTGGAGGAGACGGCCGCTCACCGGACGTCTCCAGGGGACAGAAAGGCCCTCGGGGGCTCTTGCTCAGGGCCGGCCAAGCCAGCTTCCCCAACCCGGTGACCCCATCCAGCCGGCGAGGCCTTCCCCGCCGCCCCCGGCGTTGCCACGGCAACTCCGTTCAAGGACCCCTTCTGCCCTGGAACCGGCAGGGGGCGCTCGGCAGAGAAAATCGGCCTCTTTGATCATAAAGGAAGCGGAAGTGACGTAAGAATCGCTAGGGCGGGCAGGCCGGGGCGCTCGGCAGAGGAAATCAGCCTCTTTGATCATAAAAGAAGCGGAAGTGACGTCAGGAATCGCTGGGAGAGGGCAGGCCGGGGCGCTCGGCAGAGGAAATCGGCCTCTTTGGTCATAAAAGAAGCGGAAATGACGTGAAGGAATAGCTGGGGAGGGCACGCCTGAACGGAAAAGAGTAGGCCCTGCGGGACGCCTGGACCTCTAGAGACCTAGATTGTCGCCCATATCGATTCGGTCAAACTGACTTCGCCGCCGGGAGCCAGGAGGAAGAAGGCGGGACGGCGCTCCGGTGGAGCGGAAGCGTCCCCTTCTGATCCTAGAGGGGCGCTCAGGATTCGCCTCTCTGTGATCAATGGCCGTTGGGCTGCGAGGAGAGCCGGAAGAGGCGGGGAGAGAGCCGGAAAGCGGAAGATCGCCTCGAGCAGTGTAAACATGCTGAGAAGCCTCTTGGTTCCTTACTCCGGTGGGGAAATAATTCCGGGAACGAAGGTTCCGGCTCAGCGCAAACGGGGAAGCCGGGAACCTCCTTTCCGAGTAAGGAGCGGCGCTTGCCAGACTCCGCAGCCGCACCTGGGACGCAGCTCCGTCACCATCCCTCTGGGGTGCCCCGAGGGCAGGGAAGGAAAGAAGGCTTCTGGATTCCGACTATAAACTGAGGGCAACCCCCCCTGCCTTTTACACTGACGATGTTACCTAGTTGGGTCATGGAACGTCTGCCAGAAATCCACCCAGCTCAGAGAGCACCAAGGACTCCACAGTCCTTTTCTTCTTCTTCTTCTTCTTCTTCTTCTTCTTCTTCTTCTTCTTCTTCTTCTTCTTCTTCTTCTTCTTCTTCTTCTTCTTCTTCTTCTTCTTCTTCTTCTTCTTCTTCTTCTTCTTCTTCTTCTTCTTCTTCTTCTTCTTCTTCTTCTTCTTCTTCTTCTTCTTCTTCTTCT